GGTAGCTCAGCGCCGCCAGGGTGTCACCGCGCTCTGACTGCTGTTCTGTTCTTCTCTTCACAGGCGCGACCGCCGCCACCCCGACCTACCGCGGCAGCGAGAGCACGGAGGGGCTGGGGGGGCTGTCAGCCTCCGAGCTGACAGTCATCCAGTGCAAGAATATCCCTGATTACCTCAACGACAGGACCGTGCTGGAGAAACACTTTGGCCAGTTCGTAAAAGTTCTGCGGATTGTGATCAGGCGTAATAAAAAAATGGCTGTTATCCACTTCTATGATCATGTGAGTAGCAGAAGTGGTTGGCACAAGAGTTGGGAGTGTCCAACCTGCAGAACAGAAGTCTCCAGGGATGGCTTAGTGCCCCTTCCAGCACTTAAAGGGAGGTTCCAAAAAGGGGGGAGAGTGACTTTTTACAGGGGAAGGTGGGGAAAGGACAAGGGGGAACAGTTTAAACTAAGTGATTTTAGTTATATGTTAGAAGGAAATCCTTTAATATGCTGAGGCACTGACACAGAGAGGCTGTGGCTGCTCTGTCCCTGGAAGTGTTCAGTGCCAGATTGGATGAGGCTTGGAGCAACCTGGGCTAGTGGAAGGTGCCCCTGCCCATGGCAGGTGGTGGAACGGAATGAGCTTTAAGGTCCCTTCAAACCCAAGCCCTTCTGTGGTTTTATGAAGAGCAGGCTGAAACCTGGGTGCTTGGGGTGGGACCGGCACTGGTGAGCACATCCCTGTGTAGAAGCATAGTATGTTTGTCACTTGGGTGAAAGCTTTGTATCGTGACCACTGTGTTAGAGACAGGGATAGAAGCGTACTGAGCTGCGCCTGAAACGTGGTGGCTTCCAGAGCTCAGCAGTGGCTTTATGTGTCCTGTTAGCAGCTGCCTCTAACACTAAACAGATCTTGCCTGTTTGTTGCCTCGTGTTGCCCAAGCCTGAATTACATTCTGTGCTGTGTTCTTGCTCAGGCAGGACAGCAGCAAGGGCAAGGTGAGCTTGTGGGATCTCTTTAAAGTGACTTGCTTGCTGGAAATCTGTTGTGTTAGTGCTGAGGTGTGTGGAGCAGCTGGTTCAGAGACTATGAGGTCTGATCCTGTTTTGCACTTCAAAACACCCCTTGGGCCTCAAGTGCTCTAAGTTTGCTGTAGCTCTTAGAAAAGCAACATTTTTTTGTGGAAACCAGTCCAGCTGAAGGCATGTAGGTCATAAGTGAGAGGTTAAAATGCAGCAACCAGTATTTTGTGCGACTTGGTAAATGTTTCTCTGGCAGGAACTGTGCTGTGTGTTCGGTGTTTTAGTGTTAATAGTTTTTTGTACTCTTGCTTTTGTTTTCATTCAGGCCTCTGCAGCTCTCGCCAGAAAAAAAGCGAAAGAGTTGCATAAAGGCATAGCAACATTTTGGCAAAAGAAGAAAACAGGTAAGTCTGTTTCCAGATTACTGGGTGATGCGTAAATAGCATGCGAAGTGCTCTTTGCTTTTCCCCGTGTGCTGAGGGTGATGGCAAAATTATCACCATGGAGGGAGATATCATGGTTAGAAACTGCAGTTTCTCTCTTGAATTCACATTGCCTAAAACACTGTACTTGATCTGAACCAAAATGCTGTTTCAGGCATACAGAAGAGCTAAAGACACTTGAAATGACAGTGTAGTTTTACAAGAGAGTTTATAAATCCTTTACATAGCCATGCAACAGCAATATGGTGATGTTAACTTTGTGCTTCTGTTTAGAAGTAGGATTTTTGTTGGGGGTGTAAAAAAACCAGTCTAAAACGCCTTGCTTTCAAGAGCATGGACTGGGATGTGGGCTTCAGCTTTCAGGAAAACGTCCTGAGAACCAAGCTGAGAAGTACTCCGAGTTAATGTTTTGCTGAGGCTGCTGTTCTGTGTATCAACAGTTAAGACACTGTTTGAACTGAAAAAGAGAACCACCCATAGAGCTTAGGAATGGGAAACCTGAATTCCAGGCCCTTCTTGGGATTAGGGCAGGAGGAGGTTGTCCAATCCCCAGAGCAACGCTTGAATTGTCAAGTGCTTCCTTTCTGTTAGCTCTGTGTGTGCAGCATGCGCACCTGTGAGACCCCAACCTGCCAGCCTAGGAATGGTTCACTGCAGCTTTGGCCTGCCACAGGCTTTCCTTCCAAAAAACAAACAGCTGCAGGCTTGTCTGCCTGAAAATTGGCATCTTGAAGCAGCAGCTCTAGGGCTGCCTCTTTGCCTCTTGCCATTTGATCGTGTTGTTACATGCATGGAAATGTATATGGCAGCATTTAAAACAACTGAGCGGGTTTGAGAAATTCAACTGGTTGAAAAATTGCTCCTGGGCGAAGAAATTCTCCCTTTCTGCAAGTGCAGGTGTAACTCATGCTGACCTGAGTCTAAGCTTGGGTAGATGAAATAAATACTTTCATAAATGCTTCCGCAGGAGCACTGGGAATGGTGGTTTGCACAGATGAAATGGATTTCATATCCTATAGGGAGTTATGACTTGTGGATTATATCCTAAACCTGAGAGAGCTTTGCATTCAGATGATGATCAGACTTCATTTGTTGACAATTGTAGCTATTGCTAAGTGATATTTTACTGAAAAATACTTGGTCTTTATAGAGCAGTGACTTGGATAGCAATTGTGGGACAGATCCTGGTGCAAGTTCTCCTGGAAGTTTTGCATGAGTGTACAAAACTAACCCTAAATTTTCTAATAGCATTTTTGTTTAAACAAAGTGCTAACCACCACCCCCATGGGGTCAAGAATGAGTTGTGGCTTCTGCTGCTCAGCTAATACCTGGCTTCCTGCTTATGTGTTGTTTCAGGTCCAGCAAAAAGAGAATTTTCATCCGAGGAGAAGAAAGCAGGTGAAGATGAAGGAAGGCAAAGCAGTGAAGAGCAAAGCTATCAGCATTCCCCTCTTCGAAAACCTTTAATAAGATCCTCTGCCAGCAGTGTCATGCCTGGGAGAAGGTATGTCTGGGAATCAACCTGGCAGGAAATGGAGTGCGTGAAGGAAAACGATGATCGACGTGTACCAAATAGTCATGTTCTTATCGGGGAGTGTCCATCCCTGTCTCTTCTGGTTTGTCTGAATTGCAAGCACAGAGCTCTCACACTTTGTCAGAAAGATGCTCCTAACCGCTTACTAAGGCCTTTTACTTTGGTCTGTGTATTGCTTTTGGGTATTTGGTTCATAACAACATAGCAGCGCCTGCAGTAGTGAGGCACGAGGGAATGGAACAAGACAGTGCAGAGCCAGGGCTGAGCAGTAGTGACACTGTGGTCATGATTCAATAAACTTCTGGAGAGAGTAGTTTGCTTCGCAGGCAGTTAAAGAGTTCTGTGGAATGAGAGTCTCCTCTTTGGAGTAGTTTGGTTCATCATCTTGTCTCGCTTCAAGTGAATGGTCTGTCCAGGAATCCTGTTTTGCAGCAGTCACTGAAGGGGCAAAGTTGTTTTTGTCATACCTCAACAGTGTGTCTAAAATGACTTGTCATATGGTATGTGTAGTCATAGACATACAGCCAGGGGAGGTTTAGGTTGGATATTAGGAAGAGGGTTTTTTTATGGAGAGAGTGATTAGGCATTGGGAATGTGCTGCCCAGGGAGGTGGTGGATTCACTGTGTCTGGAGGTTTTCAGGATGAGACTGGATGTGGCACTTAGTGCCATGGTCTAGTAACCACGGTAGGGTTGGACTTGATGATCTTGGAGGTCTTTTCCAACCTGGTTGATTCTATGATTCTATGATACAGGACAGCTGGACCCTGTAGAATCTCTCTTGTTACAGAAAACATTTTTGGGCTTTATTTTTCCAGGCCAGTTTCTAGCTTAAAATGCAAACTGCTGTGCCATAGTGATCAAAAGTGCCACAAGAGCCATCTGTTTCTGTCCCCTCTATGACACTTTCAGTAACATCTTTTCTGTTGCACAAAGGTTGAGGCTTTCCCCACAACCCAAGAGTGGTTGGCAGCATTGTCAGGGCAGGGCTGAGGATTTAAGCAGAGTAACTCCCGGTGCTTGTGTTAGCTCAGAACAACCTTAGCACATCCACACTTAATTCATTTACTCAATACATTGTCTTGTGAACGGAATAGTCTTCTGATCAGATGCTGGTGTCCTACAGAACAGTGAACTGGTTAAGACCAGGGCATGCATTAGTGTATTGTTGCTGATAAAAAGTCTTCTCTTTCTAGTTCTCCAGCGAAGAAGCCTGGTCTTCGAAAGGCACTGCAGTTTGAGGCAGATCTGTTTGATTCTAATTCTGAAGGGCAGGGCTCAGAGGGCTTGGGAGCTTCGCTGTCCTCTCCTGATAACCTGGTGGGATTAATGGCTGAGACATCTGAAGAAAGGTACAGGCTTCTGGACCAAAGGGACAAAATCATGCGACAAGGTAATTGCACAAGTTAATGAGTTATTTGCTTCTCTGATGGGAAAAAATAGGTGTTTGGGGTTTGTTGCAAAGCTGTTGGGGTATTATGGAAATGGCTTTAAATAGAGAGTTTAACATGGAGCAGTCTGTAAAATACTCTCCTAGTATATTGTTTTTTGTATATTTTTTTCTTGTAGAGCACACAAAAATCTGTTTTGCTTACGGCACATGTAGTTTCTTTTGGAAAATAAAGGGCATTCTGATCATCCTCTGTGAAGGAGGGCATGTAGAGGGATTTTTAGAGATTCACAGAATGGTTTCAGTTGGAAGGGACCTTAAAGCTCATCTCATTCCACCCCCTGCCATGGACCACCTTCCACTAGCCCAGATTGCTCCAAGCCCCATCCAGCCTGGCATGGACCACTTCCAGGGATGGAGCAGCCACAGCTTCTCTGGACAGCCTTTGCCTTTAGTACTTCTCTGAATTCAAACTCTTACCCAGCTGTCAGTTATATCAAGGAATGGCCTTTAATGTCACAGTGCTGCTTGTAAACCCTTCCATCCTGCTCTTGCTGTTTCAAAGCTGACCCTACTTTTAATTTGAGATCTTGTGTTTAGTATTGACAAATTTCTCACCCACTTGATATGGAATTTTGAAATTGGTAATGCTTACTTAGGGCATAGAACATTGGGTATCTTTTAGAATTTCAATCTTTTCAGAAAAACTCTCAGTATCCAGGTGGGATTGTAGGAGAAATGTCCCCAAAGGAGTAGCACAACCCTGGGACGAGCCCCGGAGTAGGGGGAACCCCATCCTTGTGCATTTCAGACTACATCAAGGTGTAGGTACAGCCTTGCATGCTCAGGGCTGGTTTTGGCCCATCAGGGTAACAGCTTGTCATGGGGGAAAAAAAAACCCCAAACCCAAGAAATGCTTAGTGTTTGTTCAATGGTTATTTCTTTTAGCTCGAATTAAAAGGACGGATCTTGGCAAAGCAAAAACTGTTGTTGGCACTTGCCCAGACATGTGTCCTGAAAAGGAGCGTTACATGAGGGAGACACGAAACCAGCTGAGCATCTTTGAATTGCTTCTAGGATCCGACAAGGTAGGAGATTCCCAGGATATGAGTTTGCCAGCTGCTCATTAAGGCTGTTTGTGTTGGTTTGGTGATTACAGGGTTAATTCTGGTTGAAAAATTCTGTAAGCTGTTCGTTAACACCTTTCAGTTCCCTGTGGGTAAACAAGAGAGCTAGAGAATTGCTTTTTCACTTCAAGTCACATCTTTTAGTCAGTTGCAGACAAGTTTTTAGAGCTGTGGTTCGAAAACTCTAATTGCAGCCATATATAATTATATAGAACAAATAAATACTGTCATGAAGGTTTAGAGTTTGAGGTTAAGTCAGCACTTTACTTCAGTAAGGAGCAGACTGTTCAAGGCATAGATGGGGCACTATCCTCTCCCGAAAAGTTGTACATACTCTTTGGAGATTTTGATTATTTTCTTCACATCCTGCAGGTAGATCATGCAGCAGCAATCAAGGAATACAGCAGGTCTTCAGCAGATCAGGAGGAACCTTTGCCCCATGAACTGAGACCCTCTGAGGTGTTGAGCATGACCATGGACTATTTGGTGACCAAGATTATAGATCAGGGAGAAGGAAACTATCGAGAATGGTATGACTTTGTCTGGAACAGAACTCGTGGAATAAGAAAGGTAAGCGCTGTGGTCGGAGATGTTTGGTGATAGACAGCAGAAAATCACAGAGTGCTGTAAAAAAAGTGAAGCAAAAAGCAATGGTCATTCAAACTTTTTGAACTGCAAGGTGACTCAAAGCACAGTGAAGTGGGTTTTCCAAAGGTAATGTCAGGTGACTGTGCTCTTCAACCAGTTCAAAAACATATGTAACACATTCTTTGTCATTCTGGTTAGGATATAACCCAGCAACATCTCTGCAACCCACTGATGGTGTCTCTGATTGAGAAGTGCACTCGCTTTCACATCCACTGTGCTCACCACTTGTGCGAGGAGCCCATGTCCTCCTTTGATGCCAAAATCAACAATGAGAACATGACTAAATGCCTGCAGAGCTTGAAGGAGATGTACCAGGACCTGGCTAACAAGGGGATTTACTGCAAAAGTGAAGCAGAGTTCCGAGGTTATAACGTCTTGCTGAACCTCAACAAGGGTGATATTCTTAGGTGGGAACAAGACATCACTTGTTTTCTCTCTTTGCCTCTGGGTACAATTGAGTTTAGGATAAAGTGCAAACAAATTGCAATTCTACTACTTTTAATTCCATGTTGTTACAGGTTGCAGCTGAATTGTGATGGTTAATATTGAAGCAGAAGGTTTGTCTTTGTCTTTTGTCTCCACAGAGAAGTTCAGCAGTTTCATCCAGAAGTTAGAAACTCACCTGAAGTTAGATTTGCAGTTCAAGCTTTTGCTGCACTAAACAGCAACAATTTTGTGAGGTTTTTCAAGCTAGTGCAAGCAGCTTCCTATCTGAATGCCTGTCTCTTGCATGGTTATTTCAGCCAGGTGAGAAAAATGCAGGTAGATGTTTTTTAAGGTATTCATCGGTAAAACAGTCTGGAATTTGGGGAAGAAAAACTTAGTAGATATTTAGTGTTAAAAATCACATTATTATTGATTCTTCAGAAGTGTTTAAAAATCTGTCAGGAGCTTTCTGCTGTGATAGAAAAGGCAAATGTTAAAATGCTCTCCTTGGCGTGTTTTTCCCTCATGACTGTGTACAAATACATGTACACCCTGAAAGTAATTGGGAGGCAGAGAAGAAAACTGAGAGTCTTGCAATGCAGAGATGAACCTGCACTTTCAGAAGCCCTTGCAAGGTGTTTCTTCTGCACAAGGGGATGTGCTCAAAATGTGCATCATGAAAGAGGAGCAGAAACTAGAATGCAAGTGAACAGAATCTAAAGAGAAAGTTAAATCTGAATGTCTGTCTGGATTTTCGGTGACTAAGTGCTGATGTATTTGACACAATTTTCATGTTTATTGTACACTTTATAGTACATTTTGGGTTCTTTCTTAGCAGTTATGTGGCTTTTTTCTTTTCTCTTCCCCCAGATTCGTAAAGATGGTCTCAAGTCCCTCAATATTGCCTACACTGTGAGCACCCAGAGGTGCACAGCATTTCCCTTGGACCACCTGGTCCGCATGCTGCTGTTCAGAGACTGTGAGGAGGCCACTGATTTCATAAGTTACTATGGCCTGAGTGTATCCGATGGGTAAGTGTGAGGAAAAGGATGCCTAAGGGGGTTAGACCAATGTAAGGTGAAGGGTTACTGTTGGGGGGCTGTTCCTGAAGTTTGGAACCAAAAAAACCCCAAAGAGTAAGAGCTGAGCTCTAGGCAAAGCACTAGATGGGTACAGATTTTAATAACCTGTTCTACTTTTTAACTGCTGTAATTATGTAAAGGTCTTTAATTTTGCATCTTTCCCCCAGGAAATGGGGTTTGTATCCCTGTAGCTACTGTGGCTTCATAGAATCACAGACTGGTTTGGGCTGGAAGGGACCTTAAAGCACACTGAGGTGGGCTTCCACCCCACTGTCATGGGCAGGGACACCTTCCACTGGAGCAGGTTATTCAGAGTCCCATCCAGCCTGGCCTTGGAACACTCCCAGGGATGGGGCAGCCACAGCTTCTTTGAACAACCTGTGCCAGTGCCTCAGCACCCTCACAGGGAAGAATTTCTTCCCAATATCCCATTGAACCCTGCCCCTTGTCAGAGGGAAGCCATTCCCCCTTGTCCTGTCCCTCCAGGCCCTTGTCCAAAGACCCTCTCCAGCTATCCTGGAGCCTCTTTAGGCACTGAAAAGGCCTGTAAGGTCTCCCCAGAGCCTTCTCTTCTCCAGGCTGTACAATCTCAACTCAGCCTGTCTTCACAGGAGAGGAGACTTCGCACAACAACTTTTTTTGGAACTTGTTCTTCGTTTCCTTGGCTTGATAAGGTGACGAGATTTCAAGGATACAAAATTTCTTCAGCCTTCTGAAAGATGTTATAAATAAGAGAGAAACATTTCCCCCAAATGAGAGACTGGATGTTGACCTCAGTTTCCACTGGGCTCCAGGGAATTCTTCCCTAGAAAGAGACATTGTGGATAAGCCAATAGGAGAAAAAAAAAGTTTTAAGTTCCTGTCTTGCAATTGATTTTTGTAGACTGCAGCTCTGTAGGAAATGAGGTTACAGTTCGGCTTCTTGGGAAACTGGCATTATGGTGATGCCTGTGGGGTGGGCTGAAGCTGAACGGTGCAAACCAGGTTTGAGAGGATGTTGGAGGCTAGTAGTTCATAAACATCTGTGGAAATCCGTACATTTTAAGGTGTGTTCATGCAAACTTGGATTCTCAGGAGATTAGAAAAGGCAAAAAACCCCATGCCAGTTAGTGATCTATTTCCTGTTGACATTCTGTTTTGAAACAATAAATTTTAGAACTGAAAACCTCTAGGTCACTGGAGCTTTGAGGATATAGAATAGAATCATAGAATCAACTGGGTTGGAAAAGACCTCAAAGATCATCAAGTCCAACCCTACTGTGGTTATGAGACCATGGCACTAAGTGCCACATCCAGTCTCATCTTCAAAACCTCCAGGGATGGTGAATCCACTACCGCCCTGGGCAGCCCATTCCAATGCCTGATCACTCTCACCGTAAAAAATCTCTTCCTAATATCCAACCTAAACCTCCCCTAGCAGAGCTTGATTCTGTGCCCTCTTGTCCTCCTGCTGGTTGCCTGGGAGAAAAGACCAACCCCCACCTGACTCCAACCTCCTGTCAGGGAGTTGTAGAGGGTGATAAGGTCTCCCCTGAGCCTCCTCTTCTCCAGGCTAAACAGCCCCAGCTCCTTCAGCCTCTCCTCTTGGGACTGTATATACTCCTGGTTGTTGTTTTTGTCTTTCCCCAGGGGTTACGTGGAGCTGAATCGCTCAGCTTTCTTGGAGCCAGATGGATTGCCCAAGCCACGGAAATCCGTGTTTGTCAGCCAGAAGCTCCGTGTCTCTGTTGGGGAGGTTGTCAATGGGGGGCCCTTGCCCCCAGTGCCCCACCACGTGCCTGTGTCCAGCTTCAATGGGCAGAACAAGTACGTCGGTGGAAGCACCTCTGTGGATCAAGCTAGTAGTAGCCAAAAACCCAGTGTGGAAGCAACAGGTAAGAGTAAACATGCATTTTAGGTACTGCTCAGGAACATACTGCTGAGTCAGCTCTGTGAGTTCTAGCTTAGGAACCAGAAACAGTTCTTGGATGAAATCCATGGATTGAAATTGCATGGAAATTTAACTGCAATGAAAGCATGACAGTTTAAATCATAATAGAATCCCAGAATGGGTTGGCTTGAAAGGGACTTTAAAGCTCATCCCGTTCCAACCCCCTGCCATGGGCAGGGACACCTTCCATGGGGCTAGGTGCTCAGGTGTGTTTATGTATCTAAAAGCCAAGAACAACTTGATGGATAAAATGTATTTCCCGGTTTAGGAAATGAGTCAAGTTTTGCCAGCATAGGTCAAATAGGATATACTTGCTTAACTCAGAAAACTTCCCTTCGCAGTTTGCATATTGTGATTTGCAGCTGTTTGTTCTCACTCTATGTGTAGTCATGACGGTTTTCAGGTTAGTTCAGCCTATGCTTTGCTGTCCTGTCTGAAAGTACAGATATCACGTGTGGGTGCTAGGTGTGCTCGACTTAACAGTTGTTTTGTTAGAGATGTATGTGCGTGGTCCTGGAGATAATGTGCCATGAAATTTTTTGAATGTTTTGTACAAAATATGGAATAGAAACTAATGTATGTTTCTAGGATATAATTATGCTTTTAGTTTTAAGGCAACAAGCTCCTGTTGTGGACTTATTGTATAACCTGATGAGTTTTGTCAGACTTCTGAAGACAGTTTTGATTCTGTTTGTGACTCACCTAGTTTCCTTAATTTTCCTCCTCCTTTCTCCCAAGAAGGAAGAGTGGAAAGCAAAGGTGTGGATTTAGATCCCGCAGCAGTAAGAGTCCAGCCCCCAGCGCATCTCCTGCCTGTGCTGTTGCCTCGTCAGCTTGTGCCAGTCCTGCCTCCTACACAGCCCATCTCCCAGCCTAGTGCACAGCCTGAGCCTCAGCCTTCAAAACCTCATCCTGGCTACACAGACACGGTATGGAAATTTAAACCCATCATGAAACACTTGGGAGAGATCTGTAAAATACAATAAAAGGTACCTGAGGTCTTACAGGTTTTTTAGTTTTCAGGAATATATGTCTATTTCATAGAAATATAAATCATAGAATCAGCTGGATTGGAAAGGACCTCTAAGATCATCAAGTCCAACTTGACCATGGTTACTAGACCATGGCACAAAGTGCCACATCCAGTCTCATGTTAAACACCTCCAGGGATGGTGAATCCACCACCTCCCTGGGCAGCCCATTCCAATGCCTGATCACTCTCTCCATAAAAAAATCTCTTAATATCCAACCTAAACCTCCCCTGGCAGAGCTTGAGTCTGTGTCCTCTTGTCCTCCTGCTGGTTGCCTGGGAGAAGAGACCAACCCCCACCTGACTCCAACCTCCTGTCAGGGAGTTGTAGAGGGTGATAAGGTCTCCCCTGAGCCTCCTCTTCTCCAGGCTAAACAATCCCAACTCCCTCAGCCTCTCCTCATGACACTTGTGCTCGAGTCCCTTCACCAGCCTCGTTACTCTTCTCTGGACCTGCTCCAGCACCTCAATATCCCTCCTGAACTGAGGGGCCCAGAACTGAGCACAGGATTTCAGATGTGGCCTCACCAGCGCTGAGTCCAGGGCAAGAATGGTGACCACGCTGTTCCTGATCCAGGCCAGGATGCCATTGGTCTTCTTGGCCACCTGAGCACACTGCTGGCTCATGTTCAGCTTCCTGTCTATCCAAACTCCCAGGTCCCTTTCTGCCTGGCTGCTCTCCAGCCAGTGGAGAGCACAGTGGAAAGCCTTACTCCCAGTTTACACCCAGACCATTCTGAGAAGGACTGCGCCTCGCTTCAGCTACTGCTGCTTCTGTGTTACAGGACATCACCGAAGTGGTGGATGGGCTCGTGCATGATGTCCTCAAAGGAGAATGCAGAGAAGTGGGCAGAGCAGGAGCAGCTTACGTGGCTGCTGCCATCTGGTAAAGAGCATTTATTGTTGGTTTTCCTTGAGTCTGTCATCAAAGTGGCCATTTGCCATAGCAGCTCTGTGTGTGAAGATCATAAAACTAAGTGCTGTGAGGTTTGTAGTGGGGAGAGTGTAACTGATGCAATTGAGGTGAAAGCAGACTTGTCTTCAGATGTCTACTGCTGTCACTAGCTTAAGGGAAGGTCGACCCAAACCTGTGGCAGCCTTGCCTTGCAGGAAACATTTGTTGTGGAAGGGAAGGTGCCCAAAGCAGGAGAAGAGCAGCAAGTTCAGGTCTGGCTGCTTCTCTGCTTCACAGAATGCTGCTTCTTCAGGGCAGTAGGTAGAGCCATAGATGTGGGATGTGACCCAAGCAGGTATTATTCCACCAGTGTTTTGGTTATTGCTGAACCAGAACAGCTGACCCAGACTGACTAAAGTCCATTCCATGTGATGTCATGGTCAGCAGTAAAACTGGGTTAGAGGAAGAGGAAGGTGGGGGTTTGTGGCTTTCAGAGTGGACATTGATTGGAGACTGTCTGGGTATCACTCTGCCTGTGGAAAATGGTAGCTGACTGCCTTTGCTTTGCTCAATGAGCGTTTTTCCTTTGCTTATTACAGTCTCTTTATCTCCATCTGTGAGTTTTCTTGCTTTTTTCCTTCCTGCTCTCTCCCCTGTCCCAGTGTGGGGAGAGGAGTGAGCCAGTAGCAGTGTGGGTGCTTGGCTAGTAACTGGGGTCAGTCCACCACAAAGAGCAAGGTGTGGGTGAGGAAAGCACAGACCTGGGGCTTTGAAAAGCTCCCTGGCCTTGAAAAGAGAATTGCTGTTTCTGCACAGCACCTCGGATGCCACTGTGGAGGAGCTCATGACTGAAGTGATGGCAGAGATCCTCAGGCAAGTGGCTGGAAGTGTGCTGAGTGTGGAAAGGGAGCGTGTCCAAGAGGAACGGCGCAGAGTGGAGGAAGAGAGGTGAGGCACTGCTTTGGCTGTGGGGAAGGGTGAGTGGGGTACACCCTCAGGCAACGTAACGACAGCTGGTGCCAGGCTGAGTCCTTGTGCCCATGGTCCAGCCCTTTGTCTTTCTGCCACACCTTGGACTCCCCTGGGATCATGCAGACAGGGTGTCCCTTCTGTCTGCTCAGGTGATTGGCTAGTTAGCATTTTGGTGACCTCACTGAGCCGCTGTGAAAGTGGTGGGTGGGAATTTAGGATGTCCCCCAGAGAGGGACATGCATCCCAGCCCTGCTGTATGAGTGAGCTACTTACTGGTTTGGGTTGGAATGGACCATAAAGATCATCTATTTCCAACCCCTTGCCATGGGCAGGGATGCCACTCACTAGATCAGGTTGCTCAGGGGTAAATACTTCCCTCCAATAACCCCATTGTCGTCCATATTTTTGAGGGAAACCTGACTTCATGCAGAACTGTTTCTCTTTAGAAACCAGCTAGTGGGAACTCAATTTTAGGCAAATCAACTGTTTTACAGTGCATGTAGTGCTTGTGTAAGTAAGCAGCAGGTTTGCCAGTGTAAGTCCTGACTCTGTCCTTCTAGGCAAAGGCAGGAAAGAGAACAGTTGATAAAGCAGTTGAGCCAGTTGCTGGGAATGGAGTTAATGGAAGAAGTAATAAAGGAGAATGTTCAAGAAGCTTCAGCCAATGAGTTAAGGTATGTACAACATGCTGTATGCTGTAGTCTGGTTTACTAAATGTTATGGTCTTCCCTGGTTGCCCCTCAGCCCACAAACTTGTGTTTGCTGCAGATTTGCACCTCACTAGAGGTCTTGGTTTGTTTTATTTGGGATTAGATGTGCCTTGGAAAGAGACCAGCAGGCCCGTATTGCCCGGTGTTCAGAAGAAGTGTGTGGTCACTGTATGGAGCTCTTCCTAGAGGATGAGATTTTCCAGATTGCCAAGGAAACCCTTCAGGAGCTCCAGTGTTTCTGCAAGTACTTGCAACGGTGAGTTACCACCCTGGGACACAACTGCATTTCTTAGGAGCATTGGCAAAGAGCAGTTAATAGAGATGGAACTACAACTCTCTGGTTATATTTTTTTGTGGCAGTTTTTCATCTCTTATCTCCATGATAAGAGTAGGCCTCACAATCTTATTGCCAGCCTCTGCCACATTACTCAGCTCTGTGTGGGGAGGGAAGCACACCTTGTTGGAGTCGGGTAATGAGCTTGGTAGGAGATTGCAGCTTCACTCTGTCTAGAAACTTGTAATAATTTATGCTTTCTTTTGACGCTTGTTTTTCTGGATCTGTGCTGTTTCATGGTTGTTGTGTACAAATACCTGATGATGAAGGTCTGCAGAAGAGTTTATGACCATAATGTATTTATCTGTTCTCTTCCAAAGGTGGAGGGAAGCAGTGGCAGCTCGAACAAAGTTGAAACGTCAAATGAGGGCATTTCCAGCTGCTCCCCGTGGCATGGACTCAGAACACCAACTGAAAGCACTGTCTCCCAGTGCAGAGTGGCCTATAACCATGGAGAACTTGTGCAAGAGATTTGTAAACCTGGGGCATGGAGGAAAGCTGGGAATCTCTTGCACAAGGTAAGGATACTTCTAGTGGCATTAGTTGTCAATCTTGTTGAGTTTTGGAAGATGAGTTACAAAAAAAATTCTTCCATTGTGGATGTTAATGTTCTTGCAGAACTGTTTGTTCTTAAATAACCCCCAAAAAACTATCTGCACCAATGCCATGACCAGGACTGAAAATCCAAGTAAATACTTCTGTTAGCAGCAACTTTCTGAAGCATCTGTGGTACTTCTTAGGCCTCTGTGTTTTCTAAATTATGTTAAAGCACCTGTTTTATATAAAAAATTATAACCAAGAATATTTTGTTTCCAGACTGAACTGGCTGAGAAACAAGACAATGCATGAAATTAAAGTTCAGCACTTCTACCAGGAGTTGGTAAGGTATGCTAAAGTTTGGTTCTTGTTTCCTTTCAAAGCAAGCTGTAACAGAAATTCTTGAAAATGGCAGTAAGGTATGGCCAGTCATGCTTGGACGTCCACTTGCAGCCTTACTTCAGAGAGTATCTTTGAAGTAAGGCAAACTGGAAGACCATAGAATGGTTTGGGTTAAAAGGGACCTTAAAGATCATTTTGTTAGTTCCAACCCCCTGCCATGGGCAGGGACATCTTCCACTAAAGCAAAGTGAATGAAGGCATTAGGCCATCTGATCCTCTTGGGTATAACTTTAAGGATCTGATGGATATTACAAGGATGTTTTTTGTATCTGGGTGGGATGGGGTATGGAAGGAGAGGAGTAAATAAGCTGCAGTGACCCAGAAAGTCTGACTTCCTATGGCTCCTCATGCACTCCGGTGTTCTGGGTGTGTGTAGGATCAGGGTGGAAGTGAAGCAATATACATATGGTCCTGAAATCCCCAAAGTAAGGCTCACGTAACAGATTTAACAGCTGTAATTCCTGAAAGCATCTGGTCTGTGATGGAATAGATGGGCAACAGATCTAAAGAACTATCTGGACAGTCACTACTTGTGGTAACATGGGGTAAAATGTTTCTAAAATTGTGGTAGCTAAAGTAGGCCTTAGTGACAAGAATGAGCATTGTCTTAGTAGAACGATGTGAACCTACACCTGTGTACCTACCCATATGTACCCATTATCTTAGTAAAATGATGTGAACCTATACCTGGTACCTATCTGTGCTAAAGAACTATCTGGACAGTCACTACTTGTGGTAACATGGGGTAAAATGTTTCTAAAATTGTGGTAGCTAAAGTAGGCCTTAGTGACAAGAATGAGCATTGTCTTAGTAGAACGATGTGAACCTACACCTGTGTACCTACCCATATGTACCCATTATCTTAGTAAAATGATGTGAACCTATACCTGGTACCTATCTGTGCCACCTGCACTGCATAATAGATAATTATGCAACTATTATGGGAAAAGGGAACTCAAACTCATGCTTGGGTGAAATACAACAATAATGAAAGGGAACTCGAACTCATGCTTGGGTGAAATCAATAGAACAATAGCAAAGTAATGATTAACGTATGATTATACAATGATTGTGTAAAAGAAGAGTATAAAAATGTATCCATCTCAGATCCATGTCAGAGTCAGATTTGGGTTTGTCTGTACCTCTGATTCCCAGAGCTCTTCAATAAAAGCACTGCATATAATCATCCAGTGATTATGTGTTTGCCATGCTAACACTTGCATTTCACAAGTTACAACACTACAAGACAGACATTCTTCAGGTGGGAAAGTGCACTGGGGTGGGTCTTTTCACCAGCTTCTGTCTCTCTTTAAGTGAGTTAGCTTGGACTCCTCTGGATCTTGTCTCATTAGTCACTGAACATATTCCAGTTCAACAAGAACAGGTTTTTTGGAAGGTGCTCTTGGTTTTGCCAAGTGATGATGAATATTCCAAGGATGATCCCAACAGGTGAGTAGAAGAGTTGGTTGCCAAGTCCCTTTCTCGAACAGGGCAGACTTCTATTTGATGGATGAAGACTAGTAGTAAACAGCCCTTGATGTATTTTTGCCTGTATAATGTCAAATTCCCCATTTGTGTTTTTTTCTTCCAGAGCACTCTAAAGAATATAGCTGTAATTTATTGCAGTGATCTGTATTTGCCAACATTGTTTAATTCCTTTTGCTCATACTGAAAACAAAACCTTGATATATGATGATTTCAGTACATTTCATATTCAGCTATTTATTTGGGTTAGTGATCATAACCTAAGTATATAGGAGTATGAAAGGTTGTGGTGTCTTAAGAGATGTTGATACTAACGCCCTAAAGTGCCATTCTTGACAACAAAAGCCCCCAAACCCCACTTTTTCTTGTTTGCTAGGATACTGGTGGATTGGTTGAAAGCCAAGTTTATGGGAGACAAAATATGTGAGAAAAATGCTTCGCACTCAGAAGGCAAAATCCAGACACTGACGTTATTTAATTCTCCTGGCGTTCAGGGGAGCAGAAGCATTCAAGTCAGTGTATGCATAAAGGTAGGTGATAACAGCTTCCTGATACCTAAGAGTCCATAAAAGCAGTGGACTCTTTTCCAGTGGATGTTGTGTCCTGTCAGATGGAGGGAGATTATACTGGGAGGGATGGGGTTGTTGGAAAGGCCTGAAAAAAGATGTATTTTTTTAACTTGTTTCAAGTCAGCTGAGTAAACACCTGCAATAGCAGAACCCAAATCATAATTCCTGGTCCCAAATCAGGTACTGAAGGACACTTCTGTGTTCACCTGCATCTATCACACACATCCATGTTGGTCTGATAGCAGGTCATTGTCTCTCGTTTTGCAGAGTTCCTGGTAACGGATATCAGAGCTGAATGGGGGTGATGATAAGCTGCAGATTTGGGTACGAAAATAGCCTTGTTCAGCTGCATTATTGTTGTCATCTTTATTGCTCATCTAGGTGGCACATGGTGCACTCTCTGACTTGGAGCTTGATATGGTCGAGACACAAAAAGACTTGCTTGGGACCAGTGGCCTCATTCTCCTCCTGCCCCCCCGAGTTAGGAGTGAAGATGTTGCAGAAGATGATGTTTATTGGCTTTCAGCTCTGCTGCAGCTGAAACAGTTGCTTCAGGCCAAACCTTTCCACCCCATAGTTCCTTTGGTGGTTCTAGTTCCAAGTTGGGAAGAAGAGGAGGCCATGGAGAAGGAAGTAGAAGATGGTATGTGATTACATCTGTGTCTTGAAAATGAGAATGTTTAGGGCTGCCTGAAGCAAAACTGTTGTGGCTGGTGCAGCCTCTCAATGACATCATCCAGTAAAGGGAGAGTCTGTGAAGTACAGCACTTTGCTGAGCTTTGCTAAAAATCCTGATGTCTTAAGAGCTCATCAGTTTTGGCTTCCAGTTTTCCTTCACGCGCAGTGTTTGATCCTGAGAGTCTGTGGGCAGAGCTCTAGGAGAGCAGTGGTGCTGTGAATGCAATGTAGAGTGTGTGGGCAAAGGAAGTATGTTCTTTCTGTGTGTACATGGTGGGTTTTCTCATTTTTTTCAGGTTTGATGCTGCAGGACTTGATTTCAGCCCAACTTATTTCCAGCTACACCATAGTGGAGCTTCCAGGTTCTGTCAGTGACCTAGAAGGCACCAGAAGGGTGAGAACAGCTAGCAATACTTGACTGGTTTATCATTAACCTCTTGAATGCCAATGCCTTACAAGGAATTACTGTATTCTCAGTAGCTTAAATTGCAACTGAGACTTGTGTGATGGGATATTTTTCCCGTTGACTTTTCTGTAACATGGTTTTGGTTCAAAAAGCTTTGTTAACCATTTTGTCACACACCTTAATCTGCTGGAGTGTGGTTAATAGTGTTGATAGTGAGTCCAGCATCAGCCAGAACTATTCTCAAATGAAATATTTCTGTTACCTTCCCATTATTTGTGACTGTTCTGTTTTAACTGACTAGAGATCAGTGGCATTTGCTGCAAAAAAAAAAATAGTTCCATCTGTGTCATACTAAAAATTGCACTGAGACCAAAATTCATGGATTGGCTAAGTCCATTCATGTCTGCCCTGCCTATTGCTGCCCAACAAACAAGTGGTAGTGGTGGATAAACATTTTTATCCTTAAGCTCACAGTCCTAAAATGCAAAGGACTTTGTCGTTCTTCATAGTGGATGGGACTGAGAGATGCCTCTGTCCTCTCACTTGTGTGATGAAGGATTGTATGGATCTCTCCTTGACAAGCCTAGAGGGATGCTCCCCCACAAACCCTCACAACTTACATCTCTGTAGTTCAAGGGCTGCCAGGGTCAGACATGGCTTTGCTGGATATGGTCACCCTGGGCTAATTTCTGTCAATCTGTCCAATTTTTCCTGGATAAGTTTTCAACATCCCCAGTGTCCTGCAGCAGGGAATGCCAGTGAACAGCTGTGCCTCATGTGAACAGCCTCTTTTCTGTCTGTTCCTGAGCCTGCTGCATGGGAATGTAGTTTGTGACCACCTAGCTGGAGAATCATTGCTGCAAATATTGGGATGATGATAGTATGCAGCAAAATGCAAACAAATCAACTGTCTTGAATAATGTTACGCCAAAATTAGGTTTGCAGGATTTAACCCTCTGTGTCTGATCACTGTGGAGCAGTTTCCAACCATCCTGTTTTGTGTGTCACAGATCTCTGTGGCAGTGGGCTGGCTGGTTTCCCAGTGTCCTGACTCCCTTGAGCTTTGCAGTCAGCCCCTTCAGGAGTACATTGAGGATGGGATTGATGGTGAATTTGGCAAGCGCTTCTACCACGACTGGAAGGAGAGGCGTTCAGCTGGTCTTCCATCCCAGGAGCCTGGGACCATCATAGAGCTCTACAACAGTGTGTTGCAGTTCCTGGCTGATGTGGCATCCTCAGAGCACCTTTGTGACTTGTCTTGGCCTGTCACAGAGTTTTCAGAACCTGGGGGTAACAAGCTGTTGCCCCACCTGCAATGGAACATGCCAGATCACCTGGCCTGGCTGAAGAAGGCTGTGCTGTCCTTCCAGATCCCATACCTAGATCTTCCTCCATTAGGTGGTAGGTCCTTCACACTGTAGTATCCTCCTGGCAGCACAGTGTTCTCAGTGATGTGCCTGTGCTGTATTGATTCTGTCACAAATTCTTGCACTTTAGTGGGTTTTTTTTTTGTTCTGTAGCTCCTTGGCGTCCTGTTTGCTGCATGATTTTTCAGTATGTTTCTCAAATTGCAAGTTCTTCCCACACTGAGCCACTGATCCATTCTCAAGTGGAGAATCTACTGAGGAAAACTTACCAAAAGTGGAAAAACAGAGCAACTGGCAACTCTGATGAAGATGGACCTTCTGTTGATGAGATCCCTTGGGATTGTATCGTGGCAGTCTGCATTGATCATAAACTGAGAGACTGGAAACCACCCAAACTGCCTATTGCTCCAGGTATTGTGTCCTCCTACAATACAGGTGATACTTGTTTGTACATTTCAACTGTGTGAGTTTTTTGTTTGGCTTAACTATAGGGAGCCTATGAATGAAATGACTACTTAATCCTCTGAATTTGGATGCAGTAGAACTTTTAAGACTAAGAGAAAGCAGCATTTTACAGTCTTTCCCAGTAATCTGGTATCAGTTGATAATAAATCAGCTCAAGAAGGATCCTTTTTGCAAGCAGATTACAACTGAAAACTGCTTGAAAGAGAACACATGCTTTGGATAGACAGGAAGCTGAACATGAGCCAGCAGTGTGCTCAGGTGGCCAAGAAGACCAATGGCATCCTGGCCTGGATCAGGAACAGTGTGGTCAGCAGGACCAGGGAGGTGATTCTTCCCCTGTACTCGGCGCTGGTGAGGCCACATCTTGAGTACTGTGTGCAGTTCTGGGCCCCTCAGTTCAGGAGGGATATTGAGGTGCTGGAGCAGGTCCAGAGAAGAGCAACGAGGCTGGTGAAGGGACTCGAGCACAAGTGCCATGAGGAGAGGCTGAGGGAGCTGGGGTTGTTTAGCCTGGAGAAGAGGAGGCTCAGGGGAGACCTTATCACCCTCTACAACTCCCTGACAGGAGGTTGGAGTCAGGTGAGGGTTGGTCTCTTCTCCCAGGCAACCAGCAGGAGGACAAGAGGGCACAGACTCAAGCTCTGCCAGGGGAGGGTTAGGTTGGATATTAGGAAGATCCTTTTTTTATGGAGAGAGTGATCAGGCATTGGAATGGGCTGCCCAGGGAGGTGTTGGATTCACCATCCCTGGAGGTTTTTAAGGTGAGACTGGATGTGGCACTTAGTGCCATGGTCTAGTAACCATGGTAGGGTTGGACTTGATGATCTTAGAGGTCTTTCCCAACCTAGTTGTTTCTATGATTCTATGATTTGCTCCCTAATTGCCTTTTTAATACTCAGCTTTTCTTCTGAAGAAAAAAATCTGTGCTGATGATAAACATTGAGTTTGCGTTTATTCACAGAAGCAGTAAGTAAAGATGGTCAGATACGTGTGTACTACTTCAGGGAGCATTTAAAGAACTTCACTCTCCCTGCTTCATGGGATCAAGCCAGACTGCGCACGCAGGAGGAGATCCGGCACGGCCACGAGAGGTGAGGTGGCTGCTAGCAGTCCTGTGGGAGGGAGTAGCATTCAGCTGTCCATAGTGAACTCCAGGGATCTTGTGTGGGGCCTCTACAATGTTGAAAACCAGCATATGGCATCCTCCACAGTATGCTTGTGTGCATCTTTCTGAAATGATGTACAAGGCTGTGCTGGCACAGGGGAGTAAGTAGATTTTGTTTCTGCAGGCTCACTCAGCTCTCAGAGGAGTGGATTGCTCGGAGAGTGCTGGAAGTGTTATAATTAGAGAAATTCTACCAAAAAACCCTGCTGCTGAGGCTTTGGAATTCAGTTTGTGCAGGGCCTGGTGGGAAAACAGCGTGTGGTTGAGAAAGGGTATGATAGATTGAGGGGATAGGATACCTTAGTGCTGAGTGGCACTAAAGTGTTTGAGGTGTCAAGAGTCTAGCACGCTTCCATAGCCTCACTCAGAGGGAAGCGACTCTTCCCTCTTGGAAGCTTAGCTGCACCTCTGCTGTGCAGAGGGTGGTATTTGGGGTGAATCTTGGTCTCTGGTCATTTTAGTTCCTCTCTGATCACGTCGTGATATGTTGGACCCTAGTTCAAGGGAAATATTTCTCCATCACTTCTCACCTCCTGGTTATTTCCAAGCTTCAAGCTAATAGGGAAAAATCAACACACTCATACCAATTCTGTGCTTTTGTTTGGTTTTGTTGCTTTTTTTTCCTGCCCTGTCAGGTCAAGGATAAAATCTCCCAAGTCCTTTAAGAAACCCTACAGCATCTCCGTGATGCCAGGTCAGTATGGCTCTGGCATGACCAAGTCGGGGCAGGAAGCAAGCATTCCCAGCACAGATGAATTCACAGACATGTCCTTGGCCCAGGAGTGTCTGTTGGCACAGCTGCAACTGGAAAAAACAGAAAGCAGGAGGTAAGTTCCCAGGGCAGCGTCTTTTCCTTGCAGCTCCAGCCCAGGGTTGGAAACCATTGCTAACTTGTATGGAATGGGAAGCTGAGCAATGTTGGGAAACAGCCCAGACTGTTTCCAGTTTCATCTGATTTCATCAAGCACATCAGTGTGGTTCCCTGCTCTCTCATGGGAACAGTCCAGGGTGGTACAAGTTCTTGGAAGTTTTGGGAATGGTGGGAAACTATGTGGTGAATCAGGCCACCAGAACTGAAGCAGTGCAGTGTGCACAGTGATCTGTGTGTCCCACAGTGTCACAAATGATTGTAAAGTCCACTCTGGAATGTCTGTAGTGATGCAGATCACAAAGATGAAGAACTAAAGCTCTTGAGGGTTGACCCAAGAGATTTTTGTCTCTTCTGCCTTCCCCATCCCCAGATGTCTTCAGTCTGTGTGGCTTCTTTCTATACCACAGTCTTCTGTGGTGGATTTTTGTCATAGCAGTGGTGTGTGTCAGAACATTTTGAAAATCATAGAATCATGGAATTTTTAGGAGTTAGAATGGACCTGATAGATCATCCAGTTCCAACCCCCTGCCATGGGCAGGGACACCTCCCCACCAGAGCAGGTTTCTCAAGGCTTCATCCAGCCTGGCTTTGAACACTGCCAGGGCTGGGGCAGCCACAGTTTCCCTGGGCAACCTGTGCCAGTGTCTAATGACTGTGGAGGTCAGACAGTGCTGAACCCAAAACTCTTAGTTAACCCTGACTTACAGAGACTAAGGCTACAATCTGATTGGTGCTCTTGACCTTCCCATCCAGGTTTGAAGAACAGTTGCACCAATATCTAGCTGAGGGCACTGAGCCCCTTGGGGATCTGCTAGATCTTCCTCTCTATCTCCCCCAGTCCCTGCTCTCCACCCCAGCTGTCACCTGTCCATTGGTGAAGAGTCCTGTGTCACCTGCTCAAGAGGTAAGATAAGGTGGTCCTTGCATTGACTAAGGCTCGGAGGAGTAGGGTAGTTGCAAAACCATTTGTGGGAATTACCCTGGGAAAGTCTGTCTCATCTCTTTTCCTCCTGCCCAGGCTGGGAGTCAAGAGGAACCTGATGTTTTGCAGACGGAGCGAAGCTCTTCACTGTCAGACAGACTGAAACACTTGCAGCAACTGCTTAGAGCAACCAAGGAGGCCGAAGCTGCCTCTGAGCTCCATCTCTCAGTTCTGGTGGACATGGTGGATATTTGAGCAGAACTGAGATACAGAGACTTGTGAGAGGAATCCAGGTGATCGAACAGACATGCTCCTGGGTCAGCAGGTCATTGCTGGCCTGGGACTCCTTCCTGTTCTGCTGCACAGGCACAGAGAAAAGTCAAATGCTTTTCTTGGAAGGCCTTAAATGACACTTAGGTGTTTTTCTTTCTCCCAGCTGTCATGGGTAAGCATGGCTTCAGCTGGAGGAAACCATAAGGAATCACAGGGTCCCTGGAACATCAGTGCAATTGCTCTGCAGAGACAGCATCCCTGGAATGTCTCAGCTCTGTGCTGCCTTCGTGCAGGAGGAAGCAGCACTATAGTTTGAAGTTCCTGTTCTGTTCTCAGGAATGTCAATACTGTCATTCTCAAGCTGGAGCAATACTTGGCCGTGTTTTGGTACTTCATATTGCTCAATGCAAATCCAGAAGGATTTTTGTGCTTCTGGGCCCAAGTGTTATTGTATTCAATGCTTGCAGCATTTAAATCAGCTGAGTTGCTTATTCTACAGATTCAGTGTCATGCTGGAAAGCAGGATGCTTCCTTCAGTCTTCAGTAGACAGCTGTGGAGGAGCAGTTTTCTTCATTTCTGCAGTATTCTTGTACAGCTAATCATTCTTCATTTCTTAGAAATCAGCAATTTTTTCTCAAACAGAACTTTCTGCCTGGTGAAGTATAAATTACTGTAGTAAACACTGAGTGTCTTGCCTGCCAGACCCCAGTTGTCTGACTTCCTCCTAATTTCATTTGAGATATTCAGCTGCTTTTCAAAAAAAGTAATTTTATGGTTTTTTGGGTTTTTTTAACAGCATTTCATTTGTATCATTTCTCCTAAGCCCCAAATAGCAATTGGTAGCATGTTAAATTGAAGTCAGAAATTTCAAACTGGAAAGATTGTGCTTTGAGGCTGTGCTTGGGTTGAGTTGAACTGGCTTCATGTGAAGTCTGTGCCCTGCTCTCATATTCTCAGTTTACCTGGAATTCAGCTATCAGACCCAAAAACCATCTACTGTAAATGTTTTTTGTACCTAATAAATTTTTACTGGTTTGAAAGGTGCTGTTGCCCATGGTACAGGATGCTTTTGGAGGCGGGGTAGGGGGAGCTGCTGCCTTTATCGCTGGGATTCAGTTCTGGTCCTCAGTTCAGGAGGGATAGTGAAGTGCTGGAGTGGGTCCAGAGAAGAGCAACGAGGCTGGTGAAGGGACTCGAGCACAAGTGCCATGAGGAGAGACTGAGGGAGCTGGGGTTGTTTAGCCTGGAGAAGAGGAGGCTCAGGGGAGACCTTATCACCCTCTACAACTCCCTGACAGGAGGTTGGAGTCAGGTGGGGGTTGGTCTGTTCTCCCAGGCAACCAGCAGGAGGACAAGAGGGCACAGACTCAAGCTCTGCCAGGGGAGGGTTAGGTTGGATATTAGGAAGAGATTTTTTTTTTATGGAGAGGGTGATCAGGCATTGGAATGGGATGCCCAAGGAGGTCGTGAATTCACCGTCCCTGGAGATTCTGAAGGTGAGACCAGATGTGACACTTAGTGTCATAGGCTAGTAACGATGGTGGGGTCGGACTCGATGATCTTGGAGGTCTTTTCCAACCCGCTTGATTCTATGTTTTCTGGAGTTCCAGCGTGGGGTGGAGAGGCTGGTCACGCTCCTTGGAACCTCCGTATAATTCCGCTGCCGGATGAGAACCTCCAGCTGCAGCAAAATCACGACGAGGGTGGGATTCGAACCCACGC